CGAGCTCCGCCGGCTCGAAGATTTTCTCTTGTTTTGGAGATTTGGATTATATCGCTCTGATTCAGTGATTATCGGTACAAGTCAAGCACAAGCACAACAAGCATATAAGTTACATCAACTCCATTGGTCACAATGCCGGATTACAGAAAAGGAGAAAAAGTCCGCTACAAGCCTGTCGGAGGTATGCCCCTCCCTCGGTTCAACAAACCCAATGGAGGGAGACAGCTAAGTTCATTCGATCAGGCCCCGAGTCCAAGACATCCGAGGCTGTCGGCATCATCCGCGAGGTCGCCACTCAGCCGACTCAAATGACAGGTCGCAATGTAGCTGCTTCGGACGAGGAGCCACGGTACACGGTGAGTTACTACGCCATTTGGTGAAGGGTTGCTGCGAAGCTGACGCTGACTTGGGGTGATAGATTGAGAATGCTCGTACGCATAAGCAGTCGGCTATCAAAGAGTCGAATATCTTGGGGCCTGAAGAGTAAGGTGGTGGATGGTTGAGGAGGACGGTTGGATAGACGAGGGAGAGAGGAGAAGGCAATGGGGTGTTTCTGGTCGATGAATGATCACTTGATTTTTCTGGCCTAGGCAGATACGGAGTAGAAATCGATGGATTGCCTGATACTTGCTTTATCGAATACCTGAAACAAGGATGCAGTAAGCCGTAGTTTAGCTACGTCCAGGTCCGAGCTTTGTCTAGGCAGACTAGCTAAATGTAAATATACCAGCCGTGACTTAAGTACGAGTTTTAATGCTGACACGATATATCTATGCTTCTTGGCTGATAGTATTCTAAATGCAACATGGCTAGAACTAAGAGCTTGGCTGCATGGAGTTAGCATCTCATGCGGACATATTAAAGCCCCAAGGTACTTAGTGGCCCTTCCTCGGAATGACTAAATCATTCTTTCAACGACATTGTTAGATTTCTGAAGAGCGTTATGACGCTATCATGTTAATATAATATTTTTATATACAAGAATCATACGTTAAGTGGTATTCTCGTTACTCATTACATCGTTTGGACCTTCATCCTCAACCATCCCCTCCCTATCCGTCTTATTGTTGAAAGTAGACTAATGAAGAGAAGACACCTGCAGCATTCCCATTCTCAAATATCATTTGATAATCGTGCTTCACAGCTCACCGGGCCAGATATCGTTAGCAATTTCGCGGACGAGCTTCAGCTTGTTGATCATGCCATCCCAGTCAATCGCGTTACCCTCACGGTGACTGGCAAAACCACACTGCGGGCTGACGCCGACTTGCTTGAGGGCCTCTTCAACGCTAATGTTGTTGCCCTCGGCGATGAACTTGGCAGCTTCGTAGACGCGCTTCTTCATCTCCTCCTTGTCCTCGAGCTCGGGGAACTTGCTGGTTACAACGCCCAAGATGACGTTCTTGTGGCGAGGCAGCTCCTTCAGAGGCTCGAAGCCACCGGCACGGGGGGTGTCGTACTCGAGGTAGTAGGTGTCGACGTTGAGCTCCTTGAACAGCTTGGTAGCGATGCGGTCATAGCCACCCTCGGAGAAGTGACGGCTACCAACAAAGTTACCGCGACAGATGTGAACACCGACGTGGAAATCGGCAGGACGCTTGGACAGCAGTTCGTTGTATTGCTTGATGTACTTTTCAAATGTCTCGTCGGCAGTGGCGGTGTTCAGAAAATCGGTCTTCCAGCCCTCCAGCATCTTCTCCGAGCAGAAGTCTGGTGTCTGGGTTAGTATGCCTCCTGTCCAGTCAACGACATGCGATATCCAGAGTTCTTACAAGCGAGGTTGGGGTCATCGAACTGGACGTTTCTGCAGCCAGCATCATACAGGATCTGCAATTCCTCCTGGTAGGCTTTGGTGATATCACTCAGGTACTCGTCCTCGGTGCTGTATACATCCTTGGGGAAAGCCTTGCCGTTCTTGTAACGAAGGTGGTACCAGTTGGGAGCAGCAAGGGTGAGCTTCACATTTTTGACCTCCTCGGGGGCCACCAGGCTAGCCAAGTGCTTGAACTGGTCGACATATGTGCTGCCAACGTGCCTGATCTTGCCGGTACAGATGACAGTCTCCCCAGGCTTGTGGCCCGCTTCCAGGAATGCAGCTACATCAGGAGCATAGGGGCGGAAGATATCAGCGTCAAAGTCGGTAACCTCCTCGAAACCCTCGAGACCAGGGAAGAAACTGCCCCAGAACACTGCATGGAAAACCGGATCAGCTTAATGTGCATGTGAATATCCGCAAGCCAGGAAGCCTTACTGTGTCTGCAGTATTCTCCATCAGAAAGAGCGGGATAGCCCAGCTTCTTCTGGGTCTCGACAATATCTTTGATATCCCTGTCCTCGACAGCCTTGAGCTCGGCCGCAGAAGCCTGTCCCTTTTCGAACGCTATCTTGACTTTCAGGAGCTCCTCAGTCCGGAGGAGAGAGCCAAGGTGCTCGGCACGGAAGGGCGGGTTACTGTGAAGCTGAGCCATGGCGAGTATACTGAATCTTATTGAGAGTTGCTGTCGCCACCAGAACTATGAGCTTAACAGAGAGGAGAAGCAACAAGCGCGAGGATGCTTTGAGGAAAGGAAGTGTCAAATCCTGTACTCTCGGTGACAAAAAGTTGAGGGGGCATTTGACCCCCTCCCCCAGCAAATGGGACTCTGCAAGGACGATCCATGTTTTCAATTTGCCGGTTCTTCAGTCATGCTCAGGGGTGCCGATGACATCCACCTCAAGATTCTCAGCCCCACATGTTGTGAGTCTCTCCACATCTTGAAGGTCAGAGCTCGATGTCGCTGAACAGAATGAGGTTCCATTATTGCACCAAAAGGATCTGGTTATATGGAAGTACTTGAACCCTCCTCAAAGAGTCAAGGGTGATGCTGCCAGTTCTTCTTCTATATTAAGCGATCATAAAGCGAGGTACTTGTAATGTGGCTGAGATATTCCCGTATTCTTGTCGTGTGGGATTTGGTAAATGTATATTCTCCTCACTTGCCTAGCTCCTAGTCCTACCATGTCAAGCATTGCGGAGACAGCTCCACAGAGGCCGAGTCAAAGGGGTTTTACCGATGGCTGAGGAGAAGCTGTACGTAGTAGATAGGAGGGTCCTGATATATCGCACGCGACTCGTCCGTACGAGATTCTGCTAATAGTTGGAAAGTGGGGAATTTCCACTGATGAAGTTCGACTTCATGAAGGACAGACTCAGAGATTGACCTTTCCATCTAGTTATCATGGTGAGAGAGTACGGAGTACAGTAAGTACTTAGTTGTACGTGTGGTATGTAAGTGGGGATCTCTCGGCACTTGGTCCTTTTGTCTTCCCGAGAAACTGTTCTGCCATGTCCACTCTCACCGCCTCCAATGGTTCACTCGAATAGGAACTGTCGACAACCGACAATCCATCTCGATGACTAACTCCCTTTCGAGCTACATCTAGCTACGACCGGCCTGACATCTCATTTTATCCATTCCAACATGGAGATATGACAGTTTCACGCAAGTCGCGGGATCCGTCGTCATGTGAAGCTCACTGAGGCCACTGAGCGCTAACGCTAACTCCATAGTATCTCAGCAACACGGAGCATCAACCATTGCTACAATGTCCGCAGATACTTCGCCATTCGAGTCGCTACCGAATGAGCTAATTGATCAAATACTGTCCAATCTTGCTACTGATCCTCCTTCCTTGTCCCGTTTCGACCAGCCCCCATGCGTCCGTATAGTCAAATCTGCCACCCGCGACCTTAAAAATCTATCGCGGACCTCCTCTCGCTTCCTAGAGGTCACGCGGCCGCGGTTGTTCGCACATGCCTCCTTTGATATCAGTGAGGGAGAAAGCTTTCTACAGTTCATCCAGAAATGGGATATGTGTCGAAACGTGAAGTCCATCCTGGCGCGGGGTAATACCGGTTCAGATCCTCATGACGACCCCTCATGGTGGCGTAGGATTCTGCATCACCTCGATCCTCTGCGAATCACTCTTTTGGCACCGCCGCCGTTTATCGGAGCGACGCTAGGAACCAAGATTATGGATGGACATAACTGGGCTTTCCAGATCTCGCTGCAAGAACTGCAATTGGAGAGAACAGAACGGCAGGTAGCACCACCTCCGGTCTCGCATGTCGAGGCATGCTCCGGTCTTCTGGCAGCTCGGGAGTGGTCATCGCTGCAGTTTAACGAGTCCTCGTCTTTGAAGGCATATAACCATTATGAGTATTTTCTCTTCCAGGTCCCTTCTGTGTTCAATAAATGGGGCTCGTTGTCCCAATCCCATGCAGAGAGCGTTTCTTTATCTCTCTCGTTCAACAAGTTGACAGCATTTCATTACGCTGCGGTTTTTCCGTTCTACAACCACGTCAAACTGGTGCTGGATTCCGTGAAGTTGATGACGAGCCTGCGCTCGCTCAGCGTACGATTGGCACCGTGCTTGAACGACAAGGCCACAGAGTTGGAGCAGAGGGGATCTATGGATCCAAGCGATCCGTGGATGGAGCTTGCAACGGGCTATACTTTAGTTGCGCATGCAGTTCGGGACTTGGGAAACAGACGGCTTGTACATTTCTGCGCATGCGACTACGAGTCTGATGCCCTTCGCCCGGAACTTTCTACTATATTAGCAGATGTTCTGGGTGACAGTGAATGGGCCCATGACGGACATGGGAACTGGGTTAGAGGAGCAAAATGTGACCGGGTCAGCCTATAGGCGACTTTACTTATGCGTAGCGCTTTTCGACTTATAGTACATATTCCAGGATCATGATTTTGGAGCCTCAGGCATCAATAACTCTATCCCACAACCGTAACCCGTTATCCAAGCCAGAAGATGTTCAATAAATTGATGCTCACCTGAATAACATGCCACACCTGTCCCTGCTTGGGTCTTGAACCTGGCGATGGGTCCGTTCATCCCAGGGCCATCGTTGCGCAGTATTTTTTCGTGGTCATATGTCCGATTTATTACTATCAACGCTTAACGACAGGGCACCGTAGCTCTCGTACTATATGAATGTCAAAATGTCTTCATCGGACAATGCCTACGCTGCTGAACCAGCATTTCCAATTCTGGCTCATACATTACTATCCAGTCATACCACGACGCCTAGGATATCAGAGCAGCCCGATGAGCCTGATCAATCATCCATCTGGAATCTAAGGAAGGACATCGACGAGGCATTCAAAGGCCCATCCAGCGTCTTCCGCTGTGGCAGAGTAATCGGGTTTTCGAAACTGAAAAGGAGAGCTCAAGAAGACGATGACCATGATTTTATCGGCCAGGTAAGTGGTATCTCTTCAATGTGACCCGCAGACCAATGGCAGATCATGTCAGGCTGCTCAAGCACATGTTTGTACACACACAACCCTAGCCATCCTGGAAGCATATATATACTGCATTCAAACGGGCAACAGCTAACACCAATAGCTCCCCCGCTACCTCCTCGCAAAGCATCTACGCAACACAACACGCTCCCTACAACCAAAAGCCTTCATAATCCACCCACTAACCTTCGACCCATTCTCCCCAAAACAACTCCTGGCTTCTCTCCTCGCTTCACCTGCAACACCACCCCTCTCCCGCAACGAAGCCATAGCCCTGCTAGACCACGTCCAGCTCCTCCCCGTCTTCGACTTCCGCGCCGCAGTGCAAGCCATCGGCCAAGTCGCGGACGCCCTGCAATCAGCACCAGTGTCTACTGGGGATGACGAGCACCCACGCACTCTCTTTCTCATTGCAGGCCTCGACACGCTAACCGAGGACATCATCCGCTCCTCGAATCCCGTGAAGGGCGCGGCGGCGCTGACCGTCGCGCTGCGAACGCTGACGCAGCTTTCAAAGGCGCATGGCTCGCATCTTGCTGTGATGCTGGTTAACACGCGGGGACTTGGACCCGCGGCCGGCTTTCGCCCTAGCGCTGGGGGTGGAGCTGGGGCCGGGGCTGAGAGGCAGCAAGTTTCGCGCGGGGGCTTTCAGGCGTCAGTGGAGGACGAGGGCGTCTACTCCATCTTTCATGCGGGGACGCCGCTGCTGCCGAGTTTGTTGATGAGGACCTTAGATCAGGGTATTGATACGCATGTTCTGCTTTCGATGGTGAAGGAGGATCGCGTTGCGGAGGTCATCAAGGATCGAGTGGGAGAGGGGGTGGGGAAGTGGTGCATTTGGGACGAAAAGTCCACGAATGGTTGATACTATTGAGTGTCTGATGTAAATGGTCAAGAGATCGGCTTGCTATATCGGCATTATGTTGTCTCAGCCTTATGTTAATTCCGCTCTATCGTACAATATCTATCAAGTATGATTCATACACTTTTCCCGGCCTGAAATCATGATGTACCATCCATACGCCGACGAGATGCAGGATTTTCTTTGGGGGCCAGTTATGGCCTGCCTCCCAGATAAACGGACCAACTCCATATTCCGCCCCAGCCAAAGGGTATCAATCAACTACCAAGCGACTCGCTCGTAGCGGATATGCGAAAACGTAACCTGTCTTCAAACAGGGTGCGGCGAGAAACCACTCACTCGCCGCCATTCTGAGCATTCTCCTTTTCAGCCCACATTCGGAGAACGGCCCTTTCAACGACATTCTGGGCTTCTCTCTCGCATGTGGCAAGGTCCTGCTTCAGCTTGTTCTCCTCGAAGAGAAGTTCGGACTGGTGAACCTTGAGCCATTGCTTGTGCCTCTCGCAGCGCTTCTTCGTACACACTCCGCGGGACAACTTGGCCAACTCGTCCTCCTCCTCGCCCTCCGTCTTGGTGCCATTCATAGCCGTGTCGCCATCCGCATCAACGGCGTCCGGATAACTGGAAGCAAGTGCTTCGGGGGTGCCCTCCTCAAGTGCTTTAGCTCCGAGCTTGGACAGCCTCCAATCATCGAATTCCTCGTCTGACCACGCGAGACGTGTATCGAACCCACATATATCCTTCCATCCCCCCTTTGGATCTGTTTGCTTCAGTTTCTCGACAATGCTCTTTGATCGCTGGCGAATGAGTGTCATGAACGTAGAACGCGTGTTGAGCATATCGCGCCGGTGGAGAAGCTCATCTCTTTGTTTGCGCAACTGCTCAAGCTTTGATGCCTCGTCGTGAGAATAGGTCAGGCCTTCGGGGTCCACGTCCAAGCCAAGCTTCTTGCTCGACCTTGCTCCTGTCACAGGATCCTCCTCGTCTGGCGGCGGCGATATAATGCGCTCTCCCAGTTTACGAAACTCCTCCGCAGAAGAAACAGCCATGACGACTGCGTGAAGATCCCCAGTGGTAAGAACACCTCCTCTGCTGCCAAGCTCCTCCCATTCTTTCTTGGCAGGATCCTCGGGGGTTTTGTGGAGTTGCTGGATCCGTCGACGCATGAATTCCCGCCCATGCTCGTCAGAGCAATACTTACTCGGGTTCTTGCCTGTCACACGAGCGGGTTTCCGGCAACCCTTGAGTCGACACATCGGTTTCCACGTCGTCCATCCTTTGCCCTCCTCCTTGCAATTCGGGCCTGAGGAATGTGCATTAGCTCACTTCAGAGTGCAAAGCTGCCTAAGCCGAGACTCACAGATGTATTTGTCTATCAAGTCCGCATCTTTAGGATCGATGTTGATGCATTTTCCATGGAACCAATCATCGCATCCCCCGTCACATGCAATCATCCAAGTATGATCATCACCCTTGCGACAGATGCAGAAAACCCCGTCATCCTCCGACGAATCTTCTTCTTGTTCTTCCTCCTCTTCCTGTTTCTCTACTTTCGCCTTCTTGGCATTCTTCTTCCTTTTCTTACCCTCGGGAGCCGGAGAGCCCGCGACAGATACGGATCCCTGCTTCTTGACTCCGGGCGTCTTGCTGGCACGAGCCGAAGAAGGGGTGTTGGAGCGACGGCTTCCCACGTCTTCACTCGCAAGTTCGTCTATTTTGCGTTTCTTTGTCGGTTGTTTCTTGGCTGTCCCTTTCTTCGATGCACCGGGGCCCGATTTCCTTCTCCCGGCTGCCTTGATGGAACCAGATGGCGATGATCGATCTGTCGATGATGCTCTTGAGGCCAACTCGCTCTTCAGATCAGCGACTTTCCTCGGCGTCGGATGTTCTTCGGGCAAAAGGGTGCCGTCAAGTTGTGCCAGAGCGGGCAGAATCTCGGTTTCGTTGCTTGGGGGATATTTGTCCAGCGACCCCTGCAGAGGCTCAATTTTCACCTCAGGTGCAGCTGTAGTAGAATGATCTGGGAGCCCGTTTGTCACACCAACGTCTGGGATATCGTCATAGAGGTCGGCCCAGACCTGAGTTACATTGACCCCGCCATTCTCAATGACGGGACGCTCAGGTATCCGAAACTGACGATGTATCTGTTTTGCTCTCTCAAAACCAAAGAACCCACATTGTCGCCAGCCAAGAATGCCAACGATCCGGCCATTCTTGACCACGATATTCGACCGGATCATATCATTGTGAACTAGGTATAGCTGCTCCGTCCCTTTTCTATCTTGAAACAATATGTCCCTTTCGGAGTCCTCGACGCCCGGAGGTGATTGAGCGTTGAGTTCGCCGCAGACATACGACGCAGACTCCGGCGCAGGTTCGGTGATTGCAAGGCGCTGAATAATCCGACGGCATTGCTGTTTAAAAGCGCCAATTTGTTCAATCGTGAGATACTTCCAGGCAACCTCCAAAGACACACCGGGAATTCTAGACTCCACGGTGACGTTCTTTCCGTCAACTGTGCCACAAAAGTATATGATTGGTGTAACAACACCGAGTTCTTGAAGAGCGTCCTGCGCCCTTTTAGCCGCACTCAACTCGTTCGTGTTAACATTCGAATATCGTTCCGCAGCCGCACCGGCCGCAGGTTCCTGGTCAACTTTGATTAGAACGCTGCCAGCAGCGTATACCTCCCTCGTCCCTGGCACATTGAGGGAATTTTCTGGAGTGCAGGATGTTCGCACTACCTCCTCCCAGTACGAACTAACTCCCGGTTCTGCCTGGTACCAACCATCGTAGCTGGGTTTGAAGTCATCGACATGCGGGGCATAGCGGCCGTATTGCGGGCTTCGAGAAAGAAATGGATCTGTCGGGGGAATCAATTCTGGATCTGTCTCGTAAGGATTTGTGGTGGATCGGTCGGGACCTATTGAGCCGTTGACCTGGCTGAGCTCCGCAGGCGCGATCGCGTCTTCAGCCATTACAATTTGAGAGCTTCGCGCACGGCCGAGAAGAAAAGACGTCGGGTTAAATGAGGGCAAAAGTATTCGAAAGGGGTCTGGACCATGTATACAAGCCGATGCGACGAATCTCCACGGCGAATTTGTCCCAAAGAGGATGTTTGCAGCTGAATGCTAGGTGGTGAACATCGATCTCGCCGGTGAAGGTGATAGCATCCTGGTAAGGCACTTTTGTCGGTACACGTTTAGAAGAACAGCAACCGAAAAGCGCTACAGTAGCGAGCTCAGTCGTGGAAGGGATGGCGCGAGTAGAGCCTTTCTGAACGGTCGTTTGCTGAACAAGGATAGCGACCAGCTGGGGAATGAATTCCGGACCGATTGAATCCACCACACTGCAACAAGTGCAAATCTCACAGTGATACGACAAAAGGTAATTCAAAGTAGTTCAAAAAACATGATTCATTCACTTGTATTAGCAGGATCTTTCAGAATCTCAGGGGTGGTAAGATCGCATGGCATCAACTGGGCGACCAGCAACGCGGAGAGCAGGATCGCATTCAAGGATTTGGCAGTCTGCGGCCGGACTTTACTGAAGGCGGTGTGAGCTTAACTCCGCCAATTGCTCAAGTGTCATGTGACACTCTTATTTAAGCATGGTCACGTGAGCATCGAGTCTTAAGGCTGGTATTACTATGCCTACCATCTTCTTCTTCGGTGCTTGTTCTATTCAACATTCTAAGGAGGGATTTATTACGGCTGATCCTTATTTCTTACCTAAGGTCAGCTGTGATAGTGCAGGCTGACTACATTATGTAGATGACAGCACAGTTGTATTGATCCTTGTGAAGGATGAGATCTGTCCAAGGTGCATAGGGACTGTACTAGAGCAGTCTATGATGCGCCTCACAAACCTTCAGGCTCCTGAACGGGAACTTTGTCCATAAGATATGTAGCAACCGAGGAGGCAGTGACTTCCATCCGATGTCCGAACCAAGTTGTGTCCAGCCGGTGTCTCAAGGTAAGGTCAAGGTATGGGGTAAGTACCTATGGCTGCACTCAGCAGGCCGTCATATGTAGTAGCAGTCGACGATTCCTGCTTCTCGTAGCAAGGTAAGAAATTGGGAATATTGTCCATCGTCTAGAGTTTATTGAGACCATATCACTAATTACTCCACCTCCTTTTTTCCTAGCTGGTCCTGTATCATGCAGAACGCCGGGATCATGAAATGCGCCAATCCCATCATGGCTGACTTTGCCTCTTGGCAGGAATAGTAACACGGAGAGTACTATCTAGACTAGCACATGATGTTCCTTTGGACTAGCCAGTGGAACTGCCACGCAATTTGAGATCAATTCCAAATCCTTGATCAAACATACGAATTAGGGTCCTCACCATACCAGGTGTCGATTCTCGATTCTTGAACCATTCTCATTATGATAAGTTGAAACGACGATGCTTCGAGATATGCTAAGCCACCGCCCACTCGGCAGCAGCAAAACACTTGCACGCTATCTACCTAGCTAGTCTCATTCCGTGCGGCTGAGGAGTTCCAGCTGACGAGTAAGACTGAATAGAGCGATCAGGTGGAGATCGTCAGAAAGGTAGTCGACATCCTTATGATTCAGCTCGTTTCTAGTCAAATCTCTTCTTTTTCGAGTCTGGAACCTCGAGTCTCTGTCTGCTGGTCCATCCCCGCCTTTAAATCCCCTCAATATACCGGGACTAGGAGGGTGGGTGATGCTCGGAATTGAGGACTGGACTGGACCGGCCGATCGATCGATAACTACAGTACCATTGTTCGTCAGTTCCGCGATCCATTTGATTCGAGATTCCAATCTGGCCACTTTAGGCTGTGGGGAATAGCCCAAAGATTGAGACGTTGGCGTGAAGCCGAACCAAACCACAGCAAAGTCAATACTCTCCTGTGGCTGTCTTTATGCGCAGATTGTCCACTTGTCGCTTTCTGTTGCCAAGTACGCTTTCAATTTCGCATGACTTTACTTTTAAGTTTCCATGTTTATGAAATCTCCAGTGTTCTCCATATTGGCCAGTGGATTGCTCAGCTAGTTCCCCGTCTTCCGGAGTTTGGAGACATTCTTCACCACCTTGTCGGAGTCTCTATCTCAACCATTAGCACCCCGCCTTATGATCAACATCAATCAGCCTCAAAGATCAGCAATCATAAAGACTCTCGACCATTAAACCCAGTTACTTGTGGCGTAACCGAAGAATATCAACACTGTGTCATCTCATCTCAGCTACGGTCGTTTTCCAGCACTCAACCCCGCAGATACTGGGATCAGCTGGGTAGTACTTTCGCTTTCTGGTGGGACGATTCCATAATCGGAGGAGCGCAGGAGTGTTCAATTGATGATGCGCCGTCGTCATTTGATTATCATCGAATCAGGACCATCTAGCTCAACCTTCAATCCCTCGAGTTGCACCCCGTTACCAAGTTGAAATCAATTTCTAAGGATAGATTATGTCCGATGTTTCGGAGGAGACAGCTGCAAATGAGCCACCGGCACAATCCTCGCAGACGCGGTGGGAGTTCATCGATGCTTCGAACAAAAGCCGAAGCAATCTCACCCGAGTCAAGCGCCATGTGATGCACGAATATATGCGGCAAAAACGCGGTGGCGTGCCGCAACCAGACAACGAGAATGGCGAATCGGTGAAGGAAAAAGAGGAATCACAGCCAAAGGTTCGCAGGCGATCGAGGAACAAGAATGCGGGAAAGAGTAGTACCACCGAGAAGGAGACAAAGGACCGTGGCAAGGGCCGGAGGAGAAAGAGCCCTGACGCTTCGACAGATACACAAATGGAGGTTGAATCCATGCGCGAGGATTCCTTAGGGGAGGGTTCATCGACAGGGTTTGGAGAGAGTCATATCTCAGCAGCTGCAGGCGAGACGAACACGGATACTCTCGTCTCTGTTTCACCACAGGACACTATTCAGCTTCAACCGTTTATTTCACCTTCCGACTTCTCCAAATCCTATTCGTCTGGTGACCAGAGCAGCAACTCCGAGTCAGACGTCCGGACACCGTTGTCTTCCGCTCCGACAACTCCATACGCGCTGACCCTCTCCCCCAAATCTATTCTCAGCGCAGCGCGTACTGACCCGTTCAACACTTTGCCTATGGATTTGGATGCGGAGGGTCGCAAACTCTTTGACTTCTACGTCAACGAGATGCCGGCTTGCTCTTACGGCAACCACTTCCGGTCACTTAAGGCTCATAATTGGTACACGGCCGTATTTGTCCCCGAGGGCATGAAAGGCCCGGTCGCCTTCCAGAACACGATCCTCGTCCACGCGGCCAACACGTGGGCCTGGGTCCGGAACGAGGAGGAAACGAAGATGACTCTGGTCCATCGTAACCGGGCCATCTCCATGCTCCGAGAGCATCTGGCTGCAAACCCCGGAGACATTAGCGACGTGGCCATCATTGCATGCCTCAGTGCAGCCGGTCTGGAGGACTTTGACCCCCGGCCCGGACGCAAGCAGATCAGCTGGATTCACATGCGAGCTGCTCGGGAGATGATTCGAGCGCGCGGTGGGCCGGTAGCGTTCGAGAATACCCGGCTGGGGATGTTGATCAACTGGCAGGACTATATTCTGTCGGGCTATGAAACTCATGGACCGAGCTTTTTCTTTGAGCCCAATCCACCTATCCCTTCACACCTTGATATTACCCCTCTGACTTCAACGACGGAGCCTTCCCTACCAACTTCCTCATGGCTTTCCACCGATTTTGAGGGTGTACCTTCTGAAACCCCTCCCTTCTCCCCCAGAGATGAACTCCGACACCAATGCAACGAATTCATCGAGTTCCTCAAACGCTGCGAGCAACTCGCCCTCCACCAGCACACGCACACCAACCCCGCCATCGCACCCATGCGCCACACTGCCTTCCAACCTAACTCCCTTCTATACCAGATTCTCGCCGCTCCGCCAGGCGTCCGATTCACCGCCTCAGGCAACCGCAAACAATTCGTCGCCCGCCTCGTCGCGCTGATCATGTTCAACGCCGGTCTCTGGGACTATCGCTCGTCCATTGCTCACAGCGAGACCTTTCTGCACACGCTGGAGCAGGCCGTGCTCGAAAGCGAGGTCAACATGAGCGGCTCTGTGGAGGCGCTGCTGCAGATCATGCTAGAGTGCAACGACGGGACGGCCACCCTCAGCACCGGTCCGGACTTCCCCTCTATCTTCGTGCTGGATGATCTCGAGCCCGCCTCGCCTGATTTCACGCAGTACTCACCCACTGCCCGAACGCCGTACGGCCGACCTTGGTTCGCCGGACGGATGCTCAAGGTCGCGAAGCGCCTGGGCTACGAGACGTGGATGCGCGTCAGTGATTTCCTGTTGGGGTGCTTGACGCTCCAGGCGGGGGAGGACTCGGTTGCAGGGTGGGAGGGGGCTCTTCGACAGGAGATCCTTAGTGCGCCGCTTACGAGCTATGTTATGCCTGCGTTGAGATGATGATGATGATCATCATCATCATCGTCCTGAACGTCTCTCTCTATATAATTCTCATTCATAGTTTGTACAAACAGGGTACGGCATGTGACTACGGCGTCCTTTGGTGATTATCTAAATATATATAAATATACTCTATTTGCGATTACAATTTCATCTTCAAACCACTTTCAATATTTACATCCCCATTTGTAAACTCTTCCCCCTGCGTGACCTGCAACGTAACACCCGGCTTCACATCCTCCTGGGACTCCAACCCAAACGACTGGGCCCTGCCACGCTGCCGACCGGTAGTAAACACCTCGCCCACCTCCTCGAGAGACTTGCCCCCGGTCTCCGGGTAGCACGCCCAGACAATCACCGCCGCCGCCCAGTTGAACGCAACAAAGCAGTAAAAGTACTTGTACTGCAGCGTGGTCAGGGCAATGGGCGAGCACTGCGCGAAGACGAGGTTGAGGGTCCAGTTCGTGGCAGTCGCGAGGGACGAGCCGCGGGCGCGGATAGCGGTGGGGAAGATCTCGGCGGGGTACAGCCAGGAGATGAGGCCAAGAGAGGTGAAAAAGAGCGAGAAGACGAAGAACATGGCGATGGCGGCGCGGAGAGCTGCAGGAGACGAAGGGACCGAGGAGTCTGGGGCGAAGTTGCCGTAGTAGCGGGCGAGGGTGGCTTCGACGCAGAGGGCGGCGCCCATGCCGAGCAGGGAGGGGATGAGCAGTTTGCGGCGGCCGACGCGGTCGATGAAGAGTAGGAAGACGGTGTTCCAGAACTGGGCGAGAGCGCCCCAGACGCCGGTGATCATGAGGGTGGTGGAGGTGGGGAGGCCGAGCGAGCGGTAGATGCGCGGGCTGTAGACCTGGATGACGTTTGTGCCGGAGCACTGGGTGAAGGCCTGGATGCCGCAGGCAAGGAGCACGCGGCGGCGCCAGATGGGCGAGGAGAACAGCAGCTGGCGCCAGGACGAGACAACGGTGCGGGAGTCGAAGGCGATGCTCTCGCAGATCTGGGTGAACTCGGACTCGACGAGATCGGTGTTGGTGCGGGCGTGGTTGAGATGCAGGCGGTTGAGGATGGCTTTACCCTCGTCCTTGTGGCCTTTTTCAATTAGCCATCGCGGCGATTCTGGGAGAAACCAGACTCCGATGCCGAGGATGACGGCGGGGACGGCTTGGATGGCTAGAGGGAACCGCCAGGAAAAGGCGCCTGTGTGCAGAGAGCAACCATATCCGACCCATTGCTACATCAGTCAGCGATCAATCGTTCGCAAGATCAGGGCCCTGAGGAACATACTGCGACGACCACACCCAGCCCAAGCATCCACTGCTGCATCGCACCGAGAAAGCCCCGAATATGCGCGGGAGAAATCTCGCTCTGAGGATCGGTTAGCAGACGAGCATGGTGAGAATGTATGATGATTGTTAGACAGCGCTCACACAGTAGATCGGAATCGTGGTCGACATCAAGCCAATGGAAAAGCCAGCAATCAAACGGCCAACAATTAGCATGGCAATGTGTACGGCTCCAGCCTGGAGAGCAGCACCCAGAGCGGCCAGGAGAGCGCCTACGAACATGACTGGGCGGCGACCAAAAGGGTCGCAGATGTAGGGGACAGCGATGGACCCCAGAATGGCTCCTCCTGTGGCATGTTAGCTCTGAAACTCCTCCAGAATGGAGTAGCGGGATGAAGCACCATTATAGGAAGAGACAATGCCTCCAGTAGCTGCATCAGAAGGGTGATGGAAATGATGCACAAAGGCCTCTTGTTCGAGAGTTGACCCAATCACCCCCGAATCGTAACCAAACAGGAAAGATCCTAGAGTGGCCAAGATACAGCAGAGAGTGACGAGTAAAAAGGTCATGATAGATTATAAACAGAATATCAAGTTTCAGAGATCATGGTGTTAAGATTTGTTTCGAGTTGTTGAGATATATTCTCCCCCTTGTCTGGCTAGGGGAGAGGATTTTTGTGTACAGTCTTTCGCTGGGGTCTGTCCTATTAATTAAGACTGAGGGATAATAAACTATGTGTAGATTGGCTCAGGTGGCGACTCTTCAAAGCATAATTCCTCCATAGACTATGGCTATGACCTTGATTAAGACTAGGACTAGATTATCAGCCATCTCTGAGCAGGAGGCGTTTTTCTATATTAGACAACTGAATAATAATAAGCTGCAGATTGAGACCCGGCATGACGGATACTGTATGGTATGGAGTACATTTTACTCCGTAGTGCATTCACTCAGATTATTCATATCGATCACATTGCCTCCCGTAAGCATGAATGCTTTTTATTGTTCCTTAGGAAAATGGAACAGCTGTGTTGTGTTAATCCTTAGAGAGGTAACTACGTACAGTAAGTCAGTAGACTCAGTATGTAGCAACGGAGTAGAGTGAGTGATTTACCGATGATTTACAGAGTAGACCCATCTCTCCATCTCTGGAACAGTGGACCCTCCACTCTTCTTGTTCACACCTTCTGGCTTATCAGATTCTGTAAAAGGCGTCACTGACTTTTTTGTCTCGAGAGATTCGGTATTGCAATTCATCAACCGAGGCTTCTTCGAACATTCGAGGCTTACACTACTGGCCTTAGCCAAAGCCTTTGGTGCCTTGTCTTGAGATCAGCCCTGTCGTGTCGCTGATCGTGGAGATAATCGTCCCAATCATCTCACTCTTGTCGTTCACACTGTCCCGTCGTCTATCGCTGTCGTCTTGTTTCCTTCTACCCTGGTTCTGGCCCGATCAGTCCATTCAAGGTGTGAAACTTCCTGGTTGATCCAGATTGTGCGCCCATAAGGTCCGTGAATACTTTTCCGACCCTTCTCCCCCTACCCTCGATCTATCTACAGCTCTATACTGCGCAAAATCCTTGTTGAGCCTGCTGTATTCTCGATCCAGCATTATCTGTTGGTTTGACTGCTCTACTGAAAGCGGAAGCACTAACCAACCACGGAAGCATAAGCAGCCCGAAGGGGAAAAAAAGGTCACAAGTGGGACGCCGACTGGACTTGAGGATCGCCGTCTTTCTTCTATTCGTCTAAGATTTCATTCAGTATTATTGTCCTGAGTGTCTCTCTTGGGCATCCATAATCCTGCCGATACTTTTACTGCTACTCAAACCGAGTGTGCGCCCTTCTTTGCTGATTTTGACTCATCCCTCTTCGGTCGGGTTAGTCGCTCTTCGGTCGGATTTAAGCCCTGTGTGGCTCTTGTCGCCGAAAATACGACCCTGAAGGGAGTGTGATCCCAGTACCTTGTAAGAACAAAGTTCCATTTTGGACGCTGGATTGGATTTAGCCGCAAAAGATTACTTCATCTCTCTTTCGCTCATTTTCCCTCCCTTACTCAGACACACTCCTCTGTGTGCCTTCCATGACTCTTGCGATAATCCTCCGATCTGCCCCTCGTGTGCGATAGATCTTGCATCGCCACGCGGGCTGTTATTTCATTCCCCTTCCAAATCTATCTTATTCTCCCCCCTTGCATGAACCTTTGCGCCAACGTCATCGTCGAGAATGGCCGCCAATTCCAGCCCGTTCGCCGGCGCCCTCGCCGGCGCCCCCGCCGAGACCTCTAACGAGGACGATCCCGCATCCGCATCAGATACACAGTTTTACAACTATGACGACTCAAGTTCATCCGCTCTTCCTGTTCATCCTCACGATGTCACTTCAGGTCATGGCCCTCTGTCCGATTCGAAACCGAAGGAGTCTCTTCCCATGCAAAAGCGGCGCCGGGTGACTCGCGCCTGCGATGAATGTCGTCGCAAGAAAATTAAGTGCGATGGGAAGCAGCCGTGTACCCATTGCACAGTCTATAGCTATGGTAATTTGGCCTTCTGAACTACGGATCTTCAGCTTTTCTGACTTGGATACTGCACCAGAATGTACCTATGATCAGCCCTCGAACCGGCGCCGAAATCCTGCTCCGCAATACGTCGAGGCACTCGAAAATCGTTTGCATAAAGCCGAAGCCCTTCTCCGCGTGGTTCTGCCCGACCTGGACCTGGACGACCCTCGGTTTGACGTGCATGCGACCGAGCAGATGCTCGCCGCCATCAAAAAGGAAAAACCGCAGCCGCCAATGCCAACCGCAAGCGCCCCGAAACCCTCGACCGCTCCTGAGCCAACGACGGACGCAGCGGACGGCGGTGCCGGTGATGAGTCGCTGTTGGAGTCTATGGTTGAGAATTCAGGATGCCTAGATTTGGATGACCAGGGTCATTGGGATTATCATGGACATACATCTGGTATCATCTTCCTGCGACGGTTGCGCAAGCAACTCGGGGCTTCAGACATGGCGGTCCCGTCTTTCCGGACTCGGGCCCTCTCTCAGATGCTGGATAGTCCCAAGTCGACGTCCGAGTCTCCGTCGGATTCCTCGCTACCCCCCACTCACGATCTGCCCTCGCGGGATGTTGCACAGCGTCTGTGCCACCACGCTTTGTACGAGGGCTGTTCTCTTATGCGGTTCGTGCACGAGCCTAGCTTCTTTGCCATGTTGGATCGGATCTACGATACCCCTCCGGAGCAGTTTGGGAACGAAGAGAATTCGTTCTTGCCGCTTCTGTACATCGTCATGTCTGTCGGTTGCTTGTTCTCAGATGACGGGGCTGGTACCCTGGATATTGCAGGTTATGAAGGCGCTATTGGTCAAGGGTAAGTTGGTTTTAAAAGCGTACCTTACGGGCTTCAAACTGATTTTCGGCGTCAGGTTTCAGTATTTCAAGGCTGGCCGGCAACTCTTGGACATCACCGATTGCCGTGATTTGACCTCGTTGCAAGCGGTTTGTTTCATGGTCCTGTTCTTGCAATCCTCCGCCAAACTAAGTACATGCTACTCGTATGTGGGAATAGCGCTCCGGTCGGCTCTGCGCTTAGGGCTGCATCGCTCCGTCGCCGCCGACTTCAACCCCATCGAGCGAGAGTTGCGGAAACGTATTTTCTGGGTCGTCCGGAAGATGGACGTCTACGTGAGCACCCTGCTGGGGTTTCCCCAGATGTTG